TGAGGGAGCGAGCTCGGCCGCCGGTTGTGTGACGGAGTCTGGCCGCCGGCTGTGATGCGACGACAAGGAATAAAATTTGGTCCGCCGACTGTGAGGTCGGCATCGGCGGAGTTCGGCTCTTGGGAAGTCGGGCCCCGATCGCAATTAGGTGGTTGGCCCGGTCTGCCGCCGTATTTTCCAGGCCCGTGGGCTGCGAGGGCTTGATTTCGGTCGGTGGCTGTTCAGCGGCGCAATTCTGGCCGGTGTCTGTGAAGCTTGTCGGCTGATGGGGGAGCGAGCTCGGCATCCGTGGGTTCCAGGTCGGCATCTCCAATCGACCAGCGACTCTGTCTTATTTCGGCGTCCAAATCGGAGGTCCGCATCCATGGAGTCCGTGATGCGGCGTGGGCACAATTTGCTTCCCGGCTGGTGGCGGCTCGGTATTGTTTTGACGGCGTCGCTTCTCGATGGCCGGGTATCAGATCGAAGTCGGCGGCGGCGGCGGTGGTTTGGTCAGCACCCGGGTTTAGAGGCGTCTTGTTCCAGGCAGCGGCTCGGCATCTGAAACCGAGGTAGGTAGCGGCGGTTCGAAGTCCCGCTTTGGCGGCGGAGTCCACTCTCCGGTGGCAGCGGTTCTGCAGCGGGTCGGCACTTGCCTATATCGAGGTCGGCTCTTGGCCGAAGTCGAGGATGAAGGTGCGGTCGGTGCCGGCTTGGTGTTTGTGGTGTGGTACCGGCCTGAAATTTGAGGTCGGCACCGGAAATTTTTGGTTTGTAATTGAAATGGCTGGTTGAGGTAACGGTTCGAGATCGACGATGAAGGTGCCGGGCTGCGATTTGAAAGCCCGGGTTGTGATTGGAACGCCCGGCAATTGTGAGGTAAGGTCGGCGCCGGCAGTTTCTATGTCAATGGCCGTGGGGTATCAGCCCGGGTTCGTATGGTGGATCCCGAGCTCGGCGTCGGGCTACTGTTGTGACATCGGGTCAGCCCGGACATCGGTGTTCAGTTGTGTTCAACCGGTGTTGTGAAGTTGAGCGAGCTCGGCACTTGTAGCTGCGAGATCGGAGGTGTCGGAGTTCCGGCAAGGCGAGGTCGAGGTCGGATTCCGACTGCAGTTCCAGGATGGCGAGGTCGAGGCCGGATCCCGGCTGAAGTTTGAGGGTGACGAGGCTGGGCCGTGGTTGCCTGGTCGGCACTAGCGATCATGAGATCGGGATATGTGAGGTCGGCGCCGGCTATGTGAGGTCGGCACCCGATGAGGCTTTGATGGTCTGCCATGGTGTGATCGGGCCCGGTGACTGAGACCAGAAGTGCCGAAGTGGTGTCGGAGGAGACGAAGTCGGGTATGACTGGGTGATGTAGCTCGACTGCTGGCCGGAGGAGACGAGGTCGGCCCCGACTTGGTCGCGCAGCTCGGCGGTGGGCCGGAGTCGGTTTGGAGAGGGCAAAATCTGATCCAGTCGGCTGCTGCCGGGCGTTCCTCTCGCCTCTCGTGTGGCATTNTAATATTAGATCTAGATGTGATGGGAATAGTGTTATACTGACAGGAACAGTGTATAATCACGTGGCCTTACAGTAACCAAGTAAGTGGTGCAAGTTGTGTATTTTTTATTCAGTAAAACAGGAAGGGAAAAGAAAAGGAAAAATGGAAGAAGAAGTTGCGTAAGTCCACAGCAAGCTTTGGTTCCAGATTTTCAATTCCCTCAACAAAAATTTTTAAAGAAAAGATATAAAATTAGGGATTTTGTTCATGCCTAGAATCTTGAGATGATTTACATGGGGGATAGAATTTTGAAATTTTTGTGAGATGAGAGGAGTCTTTGGGTATCGGGGGAAAGAGAACTCCTCATCTCCCTTTTTTTTTTATTTTTCTGAGATCACCATCTATGTAATGTACAGAGGTATATATTCATGGAAAATGGGAGGAATTGATGTACAGAAAATTGGGATGAGATACAAACTCGGTGGAGAGCATATTTTCCGGTAGAAATGCGGCTGTTTTCCGGCGAAAATTGACTCCGAGCAAATTACGGAGCCCTCCTTCTAGCGCCAAACTGTTGATGTCGAAAATCGGACGATCAACCGTCAAATGTAATACGAATTGCTTGTATAAAAATGAAGACCAAAATTGATGAAAATGGGTGTTTATTTCTTGTGTTCTTGGGAAGATGTGAAAAAAGTGGAGAGAACTCATCCAACCGCCCCGTCTCTCTCTCTTTTCCTTGTATTGTGGGGAAGAAGCAAAAAATTGAGGAGAGGAAGAAGTCCCCTTTCTTTCCTCTTTTTTACATATATATACAAGGCCCTATTTTACAAGTGGGCTAATTAAATAAGTAAAAATGGTACATTATTGTAGGGCCCATTTATGGCTTTTGACGATTCCGGTTGACGTTCATCTGAGGTGGCTTCTGACTGATCAGTTTCGAGAATCTGTCTGTATATTTATTTATTTCGCATGTCCGGCTCCTCGGTTGTCGGGCTGTATTTTATTATTTAATTTATTATTTAATTAATTGGAGCCAAATTGGGTATCAACAGGCACAAATATAAAGACCAAGATTCTAAAACTTTTGTTATATTTTGAATTAAGATTTTATAAATATAGAGACCGAGATTTTAATATTGTTCGTTGTTTCTAAGAAAAATTAAAAAATAAAAACATACACACTTAATAAATATTAGACGGATTTTTTAAATAATAAAATGAATTAAAGCTTGAAATTTAAGGTAACATTTAATGCTATATGATTTTTACAGAAAAAATAAAAAAAATAATAAAACTTACTATTTATAGGCTGCATTAAATTCTGACTATTTTTTTGGTACTATTTTTGGTAAATGTTAATTCTTTTTATAGATATATATAGATGTATGATGAATATGTAACAATAATAAATAACTAACAAAATAAATAGTTAATTTAAATAGTGCTCGTATTTTTACACTAAAATTGTCAAAAAAGATATTTTTTATTATATTTTTAAAATTATATATGTATAATACTAATATTATTTACAACTCCATATATTTGATTTGATTTCTTTAAACAAAATAAGTTTTATTGTATTGTGATTATATTTTATATCTTTAGAGTTAGTGTCTCAAGTCAATTAATTTTTTAAGTATTTTAAATTCATATAATTAATAATTTAGAATTTACGTAGAAATTTATAATTTTCTAACTTTATTTGAACAAAAATTATTTTATTATATTTTATCTTTTATATTTACTATTTTAAATAACATTGTTACATTCAATTTTTTATATGATCTATTTAAATTAAGAAATAATATTTCTTAATATTTATTTTATGTAATACTTAATTTTCATTATTTTTCAAAATTTATGGAAAAAACAATAAAATGATTATTTTGTGGTGTATTAATAGATTAGATTTTTATTATTTTTATAAAATAATTTATATTGTTATTTGATGTATTTTAAATTGAGTTGATAATAAAACTAATTATATTTACAAATATAGATGAAATTATTTTTTATTTTATATATGCAATATGGATGTCAAATCAAAAATTGTTAAAATATGATTATTTTGGTACATCATATATAAAAAATATAATATAATAAAAAAGTTACAAAGTTTTAAAAATAAAAAGAATACATATTTATAATAACTAATATATGAATTAAATAAAAAAGGTAAGAGTAGTATATGGCAACTTAAGAAAAAATGAATGCTAAAATAGTTTATGTAATTCCCAAACCTAATAGTCAAAATCAAACCTGAACATGTGTCAATACGAAGCACCAACGTATGCCAAATAAGATTACGAAGCACACAAGCCTGCCGCTTAGGCTCAGTGTATTCGGGAATTATATAGGGGAGATTTTGCAGTTATGGTTGATTAGAGTATTTATTTTTTGTTTGTAAAGGTAGATATAATCCTTTTTATAGGTGCAATAAGGATATCTAATTGAAGATTGTCAAAGATGGTTAATTTGATATTCTATTACTACAATTGTTTTAAATAGCTCGCTATGTAATTTTATTTATTTATTTTTTATTTTTTTTTGCGAAAAACGTGATGTAGCATTATATATTTAGCGTTTTTCCCGAAAAGCTTACGCGAAATGCTGAAATGACACGTTTTTTATGCTATTTTGCGTTATTTCTGCAACGATATTTAAACAATAAAATATTCTAAAACTCGTCTTTTTTAGAGATTATAGTCATATTTTCAAATGACAACTAAAATCTGAACTTTTGATAATGATTTTCAATTAAAAATTTGAATATGCAAAGTCCTAAGTTGAATAGTGCAATATTTATCGGTTCATTTCTATTATATCATTTTAGTTTTTTTATATTTAACTAATAAAGAATAAAATATTCATGTGTAGTGGTTAGAATTAAGTTATAGTTAAATAAAAATAATAATTAAATTGCATATACTTAATATTGAACTATGACTTACTTTATTATATTTTCGATGTTCATTTTTACATTTTAGTATGTTCGCTTTATTATTTAAATATTTATACTATGATATTACATTTGTGAGAAATAATTCGTAGATACTATTTTTGAATTCATTCAAATATTTTGAATGTTTGGAATCAACCATGCAGTTTTATTATGTGTATATATATTTATAATATTTCTATAAAAATATTTTTTTGTACTCAAATAGCTTACGCAACACGCAACATGCAACGCTATTTACGTTACGCAGTATAAAGATCAAAACGCGACGCATTACGCTATACGCATTTTAAAACACTGACTATTACTACTGCCGAATAGCAAATTAAAATTAATATAATGTATAAAAATGACGGACTGATATTATTTAATTATATTAATAATATTGAGAATAGTGAAAATTTGAGTTAAAAAAATTAAAAAAGTGATTAGTTAAAAATGATTGATTTTTTTTTTTTATTTAAATTTATATCCAAATTCCAAAGTATGCACAACCATATATCAGCATTTGAAATGATTAGATTTTTTAAAAAACTTTCCACGCATGCACCGCCATATATCAGCATTTGCCCCAAAAAAATTTAAAAAACCAGTCTCTCCAGTCCCCAGTTCGCAAAAGGCTCTTCTATGAATTTCAACTGATTCTGCCAATATTTACAACCGATCGATTATCATTTCGTAGTTTAAACAAAGATCCAGCAGAATGTATGAACCCAAACAGCAGAATTTCTTGGATTTGCCGGAAAACAGTGGTTTTGGGTCGGACCCAAAATCATGGCTCTCCGGCGATGACCTCAGCCGCACCCTCTCTTCCCTCTCGGCCGCTGCTGCCGCCGCCTCTGCTACAGGAAATGTCGACCGCGTCCTCTTCAACGATCTTGTCGAGATGGTTCCTCTTGTCCAGTCACTCATTGTAATTACACTCTCTTTTCAGTCTTATGGTTGGTTATCGGATTTCCCTTTACTTTTCCCCAAAAGGAAAAATGTTTTTTTTTCTATTTTTTTTCAAATTTGATGTCAGGATCGGAAGGCGAACTCTTCCTTTACAAGACGGGGATCAATGATCTACACCAAGACGCCTTCTAGAGAATCTCTATACAAGAGGGTAATTATTTATCTTTTTGGTATAGTTTCTTCATTTTTTTGTGTATTATTCCTTTTTATTTGTTTTCAAGAACTGTTTAAGGATTACCTTCTGTTCAAGGTTTTACTTGACATAGCGGCCAAGTAGATGGCTGCGCATTTCCTTTGAATTCATTTGTTCCATGGAGTTGTGAGTAGTTCTACTCTTAAAGTCTCAATTGTGCACATGCCGTAATTTCTTCTAAGCATTCACCTGGTGTAAATTTCCTGCCAACGTTGATAACTGCCTTTCCTTTTATTTTGCATATAATTATGCCACGCAACTTCTATTTTGATGTATTCAGTTAGTAGAGGAACCTCATATTGGGGTATCACTTGCTGTGGATGTAACAACTCTTTAGTGTGGTGAAATTAAGTTCAAGTTATTTTTCTTTGTTACTGTATCTTGGATTCCAATTTTGGTTCAAGGATATTGAAGATCTGCACGTGCATTTGAGAATAAGTTTCGACATAAAAGGATAAGTCTTCACTGTCTGACTTATGGATTTCCGCCACATGATGAAAGACCTTAGTTCTCTACACTATTTCTTAGGCCTTGAGGTTTAGTCCTATGTGACGGGTATTTTTCTTCATCAGCACAAGTACATTATTGACTTAATTTCTTCATCCGGTCTTATGAACGCCACTCCAGTTGATACTCCTCTTGAGGTTAATGTTAAATATCATCAAGATGATGGGGATTTATTATCTGATTCATTATTACAATTTCCTAAATTACATGACCATTACACGACCTGACGTTGCCTTTGTTGTCCAACAAGTGAGTCAATATGTGCAAACTCCTAAAGTTTATCATTACCTAAAGTTTATCTTCCACACATGCATATGTAATGCATTGATATGTGCACATGTTTTTTCCTTTCTTTTTCAGTATTAAACCTTTTTGTTGCTTTTCATCCTCTTCTGTTCAATTAGCATTAAATTAACTATCCTTTTATAATCTTCAATTAATCATTCATTTTTCATATGTCAAATAATTTGAAACATTATAAGTAAATATATACTATTTAGTCACCCAATATATATATATATATATATATATTTGTTTTGTAGTGGTCGCTAACATTTTACATTTGAGTGGTAGTACTGAATTATATTATAGCATTTTTTTTTATTTGCATTTGTAGTATATGTGTTGTGGTTTAGGCTTAACCATGTCATAATAGCTATGTAAATATGTATCTACTGATTAATTCAAAGAAAATATCTTAAATGTATTAATTCATAGTATATAGATTACCTTCATGCTCGTGCGCACACACAAACACCCAGCGGTTGTCCGATCTGCCGCTGCCTGGTGGCTACCAGGAGAATGTGTCAATTTCCCTGTGCTGACTGGGTAAGCTACCGGGGCCGGTAGATTTCTCGACAGTGGTGCAAACGTATTTGTTTAATATAATTTGTTAGGTTTATCTTTTGATGGAGTATTTTGGTGGCTCAAAAGTTTCATCAAGGAGTATTTGTTCTTGATTAAATAAACTAAATAGCCTAGCGTTGCTTTGATTGATTTAATTAGTCATATGAAAATTGCAAGTTAGCATGAATATATCCTTTAATCAATCGTGCATTTTTATATGTACTCATCACTCTTTCAACCTACGTCTGAGGTGAATATTATACTCAGCCCCTAATCAAAGTACCTTGTGATTCATTTTGATATTTTCCTTTCCCTGTTGGTCACCAAAACTGAAGATTCATACACAAGGCGCTGCATACTAGATAGCTGTAAAGAACTCTGATAAAACTATCTTTATTGTAGGCTTGTATTTTGGTATTTGTAATTGCTGCTGGTGTCAAATTTCTGCTTAGAAATGTTTATGCATAACAATTGTCTGCTATCCTCCGTATCAACAACGTCAATGCTTATTAGTGATGGCTGTTTGTGAACAACGTCACAAACAACGTCAATGTTTATGCATAACAATTTTCTGCTATCCTCCGTATCAACAACGTCAATGCTTATTAGTGATGGCTGTTTGTGAAGTGTCCATCTTTTGTATGGTGGGATTAAAGTGGGTGCTGATGTTTGCCGTATAATTGTATATATATAATGTGAATCCTTTATTTTTCTGCAGACAGCTGGACGGAGTGCCACCGTTGCTACCAAAATGAATGGTGATTCCATCCAAGATGGCTGTGCCGATAACTTAACAAATCTATCTTCAAAGAATATGCTCTCTGAAAAGGACAGAGAAGAGCTTATGACATTACGGGACCAAATGGAGGATCTGAAAAAGCAATTATCAGAAAAAGAAGAGCATCTGAAATCGCTGGAGTCCTCAAAGAGAGAATTGGCCGCCATTCAGACGAAGCTCGATGAAGTCAGAAATGAGGCTGCAGAAAAGGACTCGATGATTAAGTCCAGTCAATTACAGCTTTCTGATGTGAAGGTATGGAACATTTCATATAACCTTTCACCTTCCACGTACTCTTGACATCATCCAAACTGCTTGCCCACCGATTAACATTTGTAATATCAGTTTTCTATCTGATTTTTCTGTTTCTGATAGAGATTAAAAAGTGGAAGGCTTATGCAGATGTTGGGATCTTGATTGGTGCTTAATCTTAGGTTTTTTTAATGATTTATTATTCCTTAAATAATATTATTTTCTTCCCCGTTTTGCGATCTAACCATTTTATATTAGCTGTATAGTTTAATATATAAGAGAGCTGTCAAAAGGATAAATTGAATAGATTTATTTAGTAATAACATGGGCTATTGGGCAAGGTTCTTCATGAAGAGAATCTGCTGGAGAAGGACGTTCCGTACTACTTTTTCATCCCTATTATAGTATCGTCAATAAAATTAAGTATTTTCTCTTTCATGATTCTTTACTTCTAAGATTTTCCGACCCGCTGGCTGGATAATAAGCTAATTTCAAGTTTGAGCTGCAGCCATGGAGAAGGGTCAGGTAGTATTACAGCGCCTATTCACTAATGTCGACGAGGCCATCACCAAACTCATAGAGTTGGTCACATAATTTTAACTTTGAGAGTGGCTGCAAATCAAATTACTCTACTTCCTATTTCCCACGATTTTGGTGCATTCGACTTTGTAGCCTGACAAGACGGCTAAGATGCTCGGCCCCCATTTGAAACTTTTTTCACCTTAATAAAGATTTCCTTGTTGTCGTTATAATCAAGGCTGCAAAATGCTATATCCATGGCAGATGCCTTCTTTTTCGATCAGAGGACGAGAGGCGAATATTTTGCGATTCTAGCTTGTGTGATGACACTTGTGGCCCCTATGGAGTAGTTAATGGTTTTTTTACAAGGCCTGTATAGTTTTGCCGTTTACTCGGGATTCTTTTTCATTTCAGCCTTGAGGACCTGTTTTCTGGCAGGTGACCACGATAGAAATGAATTAATGAAAGTGTATCAATTTTAGATTAACTTTTGCTGATTTCTTAATTGGTGCTAAATCTTAGGGAGTGATTTATTATTTCTTAAATGCTATTTTTTCTTAAACCTCTTATTACCTATTACCATTTTATATTAGCTATTGCAAGTTTCTTGCTGTGCCGGTAACCTGCTAGAGAAGCATGTCTCATTCTTGTTCATCCCTGTTATAACATGTCAATAAATTTACGTATTTTCTGTTCTGTTTCTTTCTACATTTTGATGTTTAAAAGAACTGAATTTATACTAAAATGCACAATTTATCATCACGGGTTTGGCGTCGGCAGAATTAAAACAATAAAAAGTGGAGATTATCTACTTCTCTGTCGGGTGATAAATCATAAATATTACTCCTTGAAACCTTCCAAGAAGCCTAATATATGATCGGCAGTTAAAATATTGGATTCAGTGTCTATATTTGTTGTTGGGATATTTGAATGAACAAGTATGGATACTATTTAATTCTTTTGTTGAGAACTGTTTAATGGATGGAGGTGAATATGACTATGTTTTTATCAAAACTTTGGTCTAGGTGATAACTAATGTCATGCTTCTCTCTCTCTCTCTCATAGATTATTCCACCATTATTGATTCTTTCAAAATATTTTAACAGATTAAGCTTGCAGACGAGCGAGCAGCTGTCGAAAAATTACAATGGGAATCAACGACTTCCAAAGAGAAAGTGAAGAAGCTCCAGGAAGACCTAGATAGGGTGGAAGGGGAAATTTCATCGTTCATGCTACTACTTCAAGGCTTGGCAAATAAAGATTTTCCCAGTTCTGGTGGAGATTATGATTATGACCCTTATCCTTTTGATCAGAATTATGAATTAGTAAGTCATCTATCAAATGTCCATCGAACTCTATCTCCTCAAAATGCAAAATTTATGACACTTCCATTTAGAATCTTACATGTGTCTCATTTCATCTGGTATTACTGCATATTTTCTTACTTAAATCCTTCTTTGGTTGTCTTAACTAAAGGCGCACTACTCCCTTTCTTCTTTTCTTTTTCTCTCTATTCTGTCTGGATGTTTCTCTTTCTTTTACTGTTTTGTTCTTCTTCTTTTCTCTTTTCTCTTTGTGTGCATGTGTGTACTACATTTTGAATGAATAATTCCTTGATTGAGTTGAAAGTTCAAAGTTAACTACATCTATCATTTATTAAGCTCTGATCATATTTCATGTCCTCAATCTGGGCAGAATAATGAGATCGATATGCAGAAATTGGAAGCAGCAAGAGAAGCTTATATTGCTGCTGTGGCAGCTGCCAAAGAAAAGCAAGATGAAGCATCTATTTCTGCTGCTGCCAATGCAAGGCTTCATTTGCAGTCAATTGTTGGGAAACAAACCTAACAAATACAGTCTGCAGCAAGAGAACGAAGGCTGTGATTGGCTTCTTTCGTTTGCCTTCTTGTTTGGGTATCTGGGTAATGCATGCAATTTTTCCTGAACAATTTGAATTGTATTAAGGAGCAGTTGCATGTTATTATTTAAAGATTGTTTGTTCGACATTTGGATCATGATGTAACATGGAAGTTGAATGTTAAGTGGACTTCTGTTGGCTCAACTTTTAGCATAGACATGGTTATT